CTCGCTGACCCACTTACGAAGCTGCTTTTGCGAATGCGAATGTTGCGCTCGTGCCGCGCAACCCGAGCGAATTGCTTCGTGACAACTTGTGCAATAGGCAGCAAAGGCAGCAATAACAACAGCTAAAGCAGCGGCCGCAGCAGCGACAGCGACATCGACTGCGACTTCTTTTTTCTCTCTGTTGCTCTCGCAGTGCTCTGTCTGAGCTGCTGTTATTATGTAGCCGATGTTGTTGCTATTGCTGTTTTTATTACTATTATTATTATTTTATTTGATCGCAGCCAAAAACTGCAAATCATATGCAGTTCTACTTCGTATTTATATATTTTTGTATTTTTTTTATCTCCGTTTTTTTTTCGCACATGTCGCTGCATATTAATTTTTTTTTCATTTTTTTTGTGCCTGCATTTGCAATAAAGAAGAACATATTAATTTTGACTTCTGGTTATTACTGTGCCCAGGGCAACGAGCGGGCAACAGCATGTGCGAGCGAGAGGGCGTGACAAGAAATCCCGCTGGCATGCAAAATAAATTGCATATGCGAAAATATTTTCGCGTTTTTCTTGTTTCGCATGTATGTGTGTGTGTGTTTTTCTCTTATTTTTTTTTTGTTTTTGGCCCATTCAGAATTTTATTTTATTGTGCTTTTTTGCATAGCGTTTAAATTATCGTTTGCTGCAGCTCGTGGAAAACTTGTTGGCAAATTGCGGTTTGCACTTGCGGCGCGTTTTTTTCCTTTTATATTTTATTTGTTTTATAGCAACAGCAGCAGTTAATTAACTGTTACTTGTTTTGCTGGCCGTGCATATGGTGCGTATGCTTTATTTTACACTGCTCTCTCGGCAGCAATTCATGAATTTATGCGTTAATTTCATTGCGAGAAACGAGCAAATGCAATTATCAATGGATTTTTACGATGTGTTTTATTATCATATTTGCTTTATGTTTTTAATGAGCGAAAAGCACATTTAATTTTGCAATGTTGAATGCATAATATGGGAAATATTTAAAAATATTTGAAAAATTCATGTATATATATGCATATTTAATATATATATATATATATATATATATATATATATATATATATATATATATATATATATATATATATTATTATAACATTTTCCCAAAAACATAGACACAAGTTTATTTATGAAAACTATCTGATATGCATGTATATAGTATATAGTAGTGCATGCATGTATATAGTAGACCTTTTCAGCAAATTAACCTATTTACATTAGTTACATTTGCTATGCCATATACAAAGATAACAGACTTGCGCATGTATACAGATAAATATATGCATATTCATATAAAATATACTCACACTATGTGTATATTTACCGTATTTTACAAATAACTTTTTCTTTTCGGCAAATATTTGTGATATTTGCCCAAAAAGTATGTCAACGTTTTATTTGCCTTTCCATTGTGCTCTGTTAAATAGTGTTCTATATAAAATACAACGAAAACAAGGTGTGAGTGGAGGTAGTCTTACCTATTTAATTTTTAATTGTATCAATATTTGCCAACATCAAATTTCATTGTCCTGATATACGCAAGTGCGTTTTAACATATGTACATACATACAGACATACATGATTACACACATATATACATATATGTTTTCATACATGGATATAAATTATGTGGGCCATCTAAGAGCGTTTGCTGCGCTCTTCAATTAATTTCTCTAACTAGCTTCAAGAGCCCCAATAAAACCTGAAAACCTTTTTGCATATTTATGTGACTGGCTAACGGCAAAGTTGTCAAACATACATTGTACATATGCATGTAGTTAATACAAGTGTATACAGATATTCTGCTTATCCGCATTTGAAAAGCACGCACAGACATTTACAGCTCAAGCAAAGCCGATAAAGATAAAGATTTACTGTCAAATGCATGTGTTTGTCAGTATGTGTCGTCATGTGTCTGTTTACTTGTGTGTGTTCACTTCTTTATTTTTGCCGTTCGCACAGCGCTTCGTAATGCCAGAGAACATTACAACTTTAAAGCGCTTTAAGCGATGCTCAAACAAAACACAAACACACACACACAGACATACGCACATACGACAAAAAAACTCATCGACGACTTTGTCATCGCCGCAGTCAACTGCCCACTCCTCGCGCACTGTCGCAGTCAGCCCGCTGGTGACGACACACATTTGAAAATAATCAAAATGAAAAGAAAAAAATAAACACGAACAACAAAAACAGTCTGTTGCACTGAGCGCTGCATTGAGCGGGCAGGCAAATAGAGAGCGGCAGTAAGAGAGCGCCAGTGCATGCGCCCGTTTAAGAGCGAATTAAAATGTTTAAGAACAAAGAGAGAGCGCCACAAAAGAGCAGCACTTTCTTTTGAATATGTTTTTGTTATTTCACTGGCGCACTCACGAGCACGAGAATCAGTTGGGATGTCTGTGCGTCTGTGTGTGTGTTTATGTGAGTGGTGTATGATTTGTATTATGGTGTGTGATACTGCCGTGTTGGAAAAGTTCATTGACACTTGAAAAACATTTCATACTCAAACACACACATGCACTCAGACGTCTCTTACTCATTCGCTCTGACGCTCATCAACTGTCACACATTTCTCCCAATGCAGCAGCAGCAAAGCGACTTCAGCGGCTTGGCACATTTTTGTACGGCGGCGACAGCGGCGTTGGCTGTCTGCTGCGTCGCAGTCACTGCTGACGTCGTCTGTGTTTGTCTGCTTTCGGTTCAGCGCGCTTCTTTCATCCTCGTGGGTAAATACGCAAAGCGCTAGATTACACAATATGCGTTGCGAGCAGAGGCAGCAACTGCAGCACCGGCAGCGGCAGAGGCAGCAACAGCAATTGAATGCGGATTCGTTTGTTTAGGCAAGCGAGGGGGCTAGGCGTGCTGCGCGGGTGCTGCTGTAATCAACCCAGTCTGCAGCATCAAAGCGCTGCCTAGAACCAGTTCTCTTTTGTGCGTGCATACGTGTCTGTGTGTGTGTGCGTGCGTGTGTGTGTTTGGCTGCAGTTGATCAACGGTTTATGTGCGTCTGCTGTTCTCTTTGTTCGCTACTAAAGAAATTACATCATCGGCGTTGAAAAGGATTGTTGCATGCTGCGAGGGAATCCCAACAGCTGTCGCTGTCTGCCCCGCACTCACACACACATTGAGGAACACTCAATTTACTTAAAGTGAAGCAGCTTGAGCCATTGTCTAGGCAGAACAAGTGGCTGAAAGTACTCTATTGTGCACTGAGAGAAATTTTTTGAATTGAAATGGGAAACGTAAGAGAATTTAAAAATACAAAAACAAAAAAAATAAATAAATGGTAAACATTAAATAAAAATGATATATAATAAATTTTTTATTATTTTTTTTAATAATATTTATAATTTTTTTTAAATTTTAGTTTTTACATAATTTATTTTTAGTTTTTGTTTTTAAATTTAAACTCACGTTTCACAAAGTTTCATAGAAGTCACTTTCGATTTCTCTCAGTGCATAAGTTCTTATTGCGTAATAAGTACTTAGTTCTTCAGCGCGCTCAGCATTGTTGCGCCACGACAATGGGGCAACCTACTAAGCCCCAGTTAATACTCCTAATGCCGCATTGTGGCAAATGCCGTCTGCCAACACGAGAACTTCAATTTGCATTGCTCTGGATTGGGCCAAAAGGCCACATGGCTACAGTTAATGGGCAACGTTTTTTGCGCCGACAATAGACAAACGGACAAACAGCCAACAACAAGTAGCAGCAGGCGGAACAAAGTACTGCTGCCACTTGCAACACAATTGAATCGCCTTTGAAATGCCACAAAGCAATTTCTTAGGCCTGCCTCGTTTGCTTTTCTTTTAAACCAAATTAACTTAGCTAATAACTTATTTAGCGAGCAGCGGAATGCATTTCTAATAGCTATGACTGTGGGCAACTGTACCTAGTTTCTAGATCGTAACTCGCTTGTTATCATCATATATTATATATTATGGTATAATATAAAAATCCTAGTTGATTAAAGTTAACCTCTAACATATAAATGTACAGTTGTGTTCATTAAAATAGTAGTGCGACGACACAATTTAGTGATAAACACAATTAATTATTATAATTGTGGAAACAATTATTGAGAATTATTAGTAATAATATTAACGAATATAAAGATTAACATAAGTAAATAATATGTAATTCATTTTGATTTTTTCTTAGACCCTCAGGGCTTGAGAAAGTAAAATGAATAAGATTTGCTTGTTCATAAAAATAGTAGTGGCTACTTAAAAAGGATTTTCCTTTCTAACTTCATGTATTATATATTTATATACAATTATTTGTCTAATACTTAGTTCTAGAGAATTTCGAAGAGAATTCGTGTATAACTTGTATAGTAGAAATGCTTCTGTTATATATAAAATTATTATTGTTAATGCTAATATAATACTAATATATTCTAATATTATATGATTAAAGATTTACACAAAAATGTTTAAAAACAGAGAAAAGGCATTTTGGGGCGTAACAGACTGCAAAATACATGTCCGTAGACCTCAAAAAGTTGAGGATTCCATTTCTATGGTCGAGTCAACTGCTTTTTAAGTCTATCTGAAGAGTCGAACAACACTGAAACAGCAGCAAAATTTGTTTAATTTAGTGGAAAAACTATGGAAGATAAAGTTTTTACTATTTGCCACGCCTTCATACATAGAAACATTTTAATATTTTTAAAAATATTTGTAGCCAAGAGTAGCTTAAGGCGAGGCTATTGGCTAAAATCTCTAGCTTCAACAGCGCCTTAGGCAATAAAATGTAAATCGATTTGTCAAGCAGCTAGTGAGCAGCTGTCAACATCCCTAAAACCTCAGACATGACGAATATAAAACCGCTAAATTCCTAATCAGTCTCAGTATAAAGTCTCTAATACAAATGAAACCAAAAGTAGCTGAAAAAAAAAAACATATTCTAGAGTGTAGGAAAAGCCTCTTGGTTTTTCTATAAAGATAAAAAATATATAATCTCTCATTAAAAATTTATCACATCTCAGTACTGTATGCATTGTTCAGTTTTCGCCAAATTCGAGATTCCATAAAACTGCATTTGTGAATTTGACCATGTCGGGATCCTTGTTGCAGCAGATGTAGGCGTCCATGCCATCCTTGGTGATGATGCCGATGCGCACCACGCCGCCCGAGCTGCAGTCGTGCTGTATGGCCAGATTGACGGCTGTCTTGACCATGTGAACAGTGGCGTCTTGGCTCATGCCGGGCTTGAAGTGCGCCGTCACATAGCCCTGGATGTAGGAGCCGCCGGAGCCAGCAACGGCGCACGGTTCGTGCACGAGCAGTCCCGTTATCGGCACACTATATACCTGACCGCCGTGCACTTCATCCCAGCCAGCCACAATGATGCTGGCCAAGAGGGTCTTGCGCGCCTCGTAGATCTTGTTGCGGAAATGCACAGCAGCGTCGCGCACCAGACACGGCTTATTCAGCGATGACTCGTAGTTGGCCATCGAATAGCTCACGGCATCGGCCAGACTCTGCGTCTGCGAGGCCGAGCCGCTGCGACAGCAATAGATGTGATCCGTGATCCGTGTCAGCTTATCGGCCGATCGGTTCGAGACATAGGCCCGACAGCTCGTGCGCGTATCGGCACCCATTACCACGCCCCCATCGAATTCAGCGGCCAGAATTGTAGTCTAGGCATAGAGATTAGCATCTATAGATCTGGGTCTGGGTCTCGACTATACTTACGCCGCCATAATAGTCATTTGAGTACATTGAGCATGCAATTTGTGGAACGCGCTAAAATAACTTGTATTAAAATTTCAAAATATAATTTCATTGCTATGAAGTGTACTTAAATTCAAGTGTAGCTTTGACTGTTATTGCTTTAATTGAGAACATTTAAATTATGAATGAGATTTTGCTTTAGTTTCTGACTTTTTCAAGAGGCAAGCGCTTGTGGCATGGTTATGGACATTTAGCGGCGAATTTAAAGAAAAATATTTTTTAATGATTTCTTGCCCATATATTAATGACTTCTAGATTTATCAGGATCTAAAAATATTATTCAAAAAATAATAAAAGCAAACTATTTTCGTAGTATTTTATATTCAGTATAATCTTATATAAAAAAAATAAATATAATAAAATAAAAGTAATAAAAAAAAATACAAATAAAATTTCAAATATATATTTATAATATAATAAAATAAAAGTAATACAAAAAACAAAAGTAAAATTTTTAATATATATGATATAAAAATCATATATTTATAATATATATATTTATAAAAATATATTTAATATAAAATAATATGAAATATTGGCAAAATGAGCTCCTTTTATTATTTATTTAAAATTTTGCCTTATATAATTATTTTTGAAATATTTTTAGTATCAAAAGATGAGCTAAAAAAAGATTATTTTTATATATATTCTTAAAAAAAATTAAGAAAGTAATTTAAAATAAAAATTTCTAGGCCATTAACTTGTTTTGGCCATAATTGATTTTTTTTAAATATAATAAAGCCTTTTATTGAGTATATGTAATGCCTTCCGCCTTCTGTATAATTAAGGCTAAAAGCTGAAGTTTAACTACATAAATAAAATTCTTTAAAAATAATTTAAGTAAAATTTTCAACTGCTCTAAAAATAGTTAACTAATTAATATGACTCTTCTTCTGCTTGCAGCTCAAATTGAAATAATTCCATGCAAAGTCTGTGGGGACAAATCATCGGGCGTGCATTACGGCGTTATCACCTGTGAGGGCTGCAAGGGCTTCTTTCGGCGATCGCAGAGCTCCGTGGTGAACTATCAGTGTCCGCGCAACAAGCAATGCGTAGTGGATCGGGTCAATAGGAATCGCTGTCAATACTGTAGACTGCAAAAGTGCCTAAAATTGGGAATGAGTCGTGATGGTATGATGCAGGCAAACCACAGACAAACCGCACACAGAATGCACATCTTTTAGCTAGTTTCGAGCCAAATTTTGAACTGTGTTTTCTTTTACTCCTTTTTTTAGCTGTAAAATTCGGCAGAATGTCCAAGAAGCAGCGCGAGAAAGTGGAGGACGAGGTGCGCTTCCATCGGGCTCAGATGCGAGCACAGAGCGATGCGGCACCCGATAGTTCGGTTTACGATACACAGACGCCCTCGAGCAGCGATCAGCTGCAGCACAATAATTACAACAGGTGCGGTACTCGATGCATATGAAAAGTCACTTCTATTTTGTATACTCTATATGTATTTATGGGTATTTACCCTACTTAAACAGCTACAGCGGCGGCTACTCAAACAACGAGGTCGGCTACGGCAGTCCCTACGGCTACTCGGCCTCGGTGACGCCCCAGCAGACAATGCAATACGATATATCGGCCGATTACGTGGACAGCACCACATACGAGCCGCGCAGTACAATGATCGATCCCGAATTTATTAGTCATGGTATGTGCCTAGACGTGGGTATTACTTCAACACTTCTCTTCACTAAAGTTTCCTCTTCTATTTCCTCAGCGGATGGCGATATCAACGATGTGCTGATCAAAACCCTGGCGGAGGCGCATGCAAACACAAATACCAAACTGGAATCCGTGCATGACATGTTCCGAAAGCCTCAGGTGTGTAAGAACAGAAGCCAAAAACTGAGAAAGAATAGCTAAGATATGGCTAGAAATAAAGCTAGAGTTATGACGGGCCAAAAACTGAGAAAGAAAATGGCTAGAAATAGAGTGAGAGTTGTGAGTGGACCTAAACTGAAAAATAAGAGCTAAAAAATGGCTGAAAATAAAGTTAGACATATGATGCTGCAATTAAGAAATAATAGCAAAAAAATAGCTAGAGATAGAATTAAAATTATGAAGTCAAAAAACTGAGCATTAACAGCTAAATTATAATTTCAAATAAAATTCAAGCTATGACTTCCCCAAAACTGAGAAATAACAGCTAAAAATGGCTAGAAAAGAGCTATGATAGAAGTTTTAAAAAAACTAGTTGTAATTAGACAAATTATTAAGCAATTATTTAACTGAGTTCCATTTTAGAACAGTTACAACTGTAAACTCCAAGGCGTTAAGCTTGCTTAGTAAAACTTAAGCAGCAGATTTTTCTACGAGTTATATAAGTTGAGATTATTATTATTATTAAAGAAAATTTTTAATTTTTGGCTATATTTCGACATCTTTTTTGTCAGCTATAAAATTGATAGAACATTCAATATATAGCAATGGCATCCATTAGGAACAGCTTCAACAAAAGCATCTACAAAATTAATTAAGTGTAAATTACTTAATTTTTACTGCTATGTGCACCTTGGCCAAATTTTGTATAAAGCTAATTTTTGATATTTTAGTAAAGTAATTGAGCAAAAAACTTGCTTGAATATTTTAGAGAAAAATTATTAATTAGAATTTTAGAAAATATTTAGATAAATTATGTTAGCTTACAAACATGCTCACACACTCAATATGTCTTTAAGATACTCAAAAAACAGGTTGATGCTGGATGCCAACTCGCCTTATCGCTCATTGCAATTTTAGCTGTATTCTAAGCTGGTAAAAGCAGAGCAAGAGTAGCGAAATTATATTGATTAAACAGACATAGGTTGATAGTTGAGCTATTCATTATATGTTTATAAAATCTGTTAAGTTATTTATTAATTATAGGCAACAAAAATGTGACAACTTAAGAAAAGTATTAAGTGCCCCAAATGTTAAGTGAAACAAAATGAATTCAAGGCAAAAAAAAAAAAATGCTAAAAAACTAATCGAAAATTTCTCAGTTTTCCTTAGTTCATAAAATATAAAAGAAAAAATTAGTCAGCAAATTTATTTTTGAAATAATAAGCTATTAAATATTTTGAGCATTGAAAGCGTTTTACGTCTATAAAAATTGGCTAAAATTTAAATTTAATTTTTAATAAAATTAAATGGATTTACTTTGATTGAAACAGAATCTATAAAAGAGCAATACAATAGAATTTTGATTGAATAGAAAATTCATCAAAATGCTTTAGAACTAGAACTTAATTATCAAAAATTAAATAGAGTGTAAATAATTAGATAGTCAATCAAAATTAGCTCTTAGATAACATTGTATTTCTATGAAAATGATAATTGCATATTTTTGGCTTATCAAAAATAGGATCTAGCACGCATACTCTATTACAAAAATCTGGGTCAAGAGGATCTCTGGCTGGACTGCGCCGAGAAGCTGACACAAATGATACAGAACATAATCGAATTTGCAAAGCTAATACCGGGCTTTATGCGCCTCAGTCAGGATGATCAGGTAAGTCGGGCATTGGGAAAATCAATTAAATGATATGAAAATTGTATTGAAATTTGATTATTTTGCAGATATTATTGCTGAAGACGGGCTCGTTTGAGCTGGCGATTGTTCGCATGTCCAGATTGCTCGATCTCTCACAGAACGCTGTGCTCTATGGGGATGTGATGCTGCCCCAGGAGGCGTTCTACACATCCGATTCGGATGAGATGCGTCTGGTGTCGCGCATTTTCCAAACGGCTAAATCGATAGCCGAACTAAAACTGACTGAAACCGAACTGGCGCTATATCAGAGTCTCGTGCTGCTCTGGCCAGGTAGAGTCCACTTCGAACTACATTAAGTATAGCAGAAATTTATAGAGTTTTCTTTATGTTTTTCAGAACGCAATGGAGTGCGCGGCAATACGGAAATACAGAGGCTTTTCAATCTGAGCATGAATGCAATACGGCAGGAGCTGGAAACGAATCATCAGCCGCTCAAGGGCGATGTGACCGTGCTGGACACGCTTCTCAATAATATACCCAATTTCCGGTTAGCTATGCTCTATACAAGCATTCGATATCAATCCTCATTTATATATTTGTCTCTCCTTGCAGCGATATTTCGATTTTGCACATGGAAGCGTTGAGCAAATTCAAGCAACAGCATCCGAATGTTGTATTCCCAGCGCTATATAAGGAGCTATTCTCAATAGATTCACAGCAGGATCTAACATAACCAGAGCCGATATTTATGGATACGTCAGCCGCAAGTGTGGCAGATGCGGCTGCCGGCTGTCCGCTACAAATATTGGCAACGGCAACGGCGACGGCAACGGCGACAACGCCCGAGCAGCAGCAGCAGCAGCTCCAGCTGGAGGACTGAAGCGGCAACAACAACCAACCAACCAACAAACAAACAACAACAAGCAACAACAAATAACCAACTTTATCATCATTTAAGCTAGCATACAACCAAGGATGTGATCCTGGCCGAGGACTCACTTAAAATAAAAATAAAAAAAAAAAACAAAAGCTACAGCAAAACAGAAAACAAAACAAAAACAAGAAAATATTTCAAAAATATTATATATACTTTTTTCTAGACAAGAAAAAAAACAGGCTAAATGAGTAAAGAGAAAATAAAATAAATACAAAAATGTAACTCAGTTAATCTTTCGCTTCATAGACAAAATATACAAAAAAGAAACAAAAACAAAAACAAAAACATAAGTCAAAATGCATTTTAGCAAAAAGAACAAGCAAAACAATATAAAGCAAAAATAGAACGAAAAACAAAAGTATAGCAAAACAAGTTTTCAGTTAGATGCGTTTTACAACACTGCTAAATAGCCAAGCCCCTTAGCCAAGTACTTAAAACTAGAGAAGAAAAACCAATTTTCTTGTTTCTATACCAAAATTTTTGAGTATATATACATATATATGTTTTTTTAAACTGAGCTCAGCTTGATTTTATTTTATTGTATCCCAACCCAAAAAAAAAAAAAAAAAACAAAAAACAAAAACAAACACCGCTCTAACCCTCTAGGTTGTCTCTGCCTTTTGTTGTAAACTAAACATGTGTATTATATATACAATATATATATATATAATTATATATATATATGAATATGTCTTAAATATTATCATTTTTATATGATTCTACGTATACATAATACAAAAAAAAGAAAGAAAAGAAAGCAAAAAATATTATCGAATATCTCGGAAAAATGTGTTCTTATATAATTATATGATTAATGCAATTACAAATATTTACAATTTACATTTACGTTTAACTTTAAACAAACAAACAACAGCAACAACACTTACAGCACATACAACAATATTCTGTTAAAAACAAACAGTTTTTGAAAACTATTTTTTATGTTCGAACATATATATATATATGGTATATATATATATATATATTTTTAGCAAGGTAGCAAATCCCAAATTCCGGTTCCAAGGTTTAGTAGATTTAAAAAATAAAAAATAAAATAAAAAAACATAAGCATTAACAGACTTTAATAGTTTAGCTAACAAAAAAAAAAACAAAACAAAAATCTTTTGATATACAATACAAATATATATATATATATATATATATATATATATATATATATATATATATAAATAAAAAAATTGTAATAAATAATAATGTAAAAGGAATGTAAGGCAAGGTAAAAAGTATATATATATACATACATATATATATATATATATATATATATATATATATATATATATATATATATATATATATATATATACATATAATAAAACCTACACACGTAATATCAAGTTACAAGTTTATTGTTTTAAGCAAAACTTACAACAAAAAATAATGAATAAAATTATATATATATATATTAAAAATAAATAAAAACAAGCGAAAAAAAAAATACCAAACAGACTGATGGACCGCACGCCACAAAAAAACCGGACAGCTTAAGCCCTAACCAGCCCCTACCCTGCGCCCCCACTGAGCCCCTCAAAAAAAAAAATGAAAAACCTAAAAAATTGAAAGACAAACGCAAATTGGTTTTAAAATTTATTTTTAATTTTTTTTGCAAAATTTTTTGTTCAAGTTTTTATTTTTATTTTTTTTTTTGTTTCCAAAAACGACTGACTTCACAAAGACGTTACACACACACACACATTACATAAGTTAAGCTAGTTGAAGAAGAGAAAGAAGAAGAACAACAACAACCACACATTGGATAGTAGGTGATAATTGGTGTGTCTTAAATGCCCTAACCTTACCCAAGCTCCCCGATTACAAAAAAAAACGAAAGAATTTTTTACTAAATTGCAAAAGAATTTCTTTTGGATATACCCCAAGTCCCCCACAGGCAGGCATATTATTAAATAAACTAATTATATAAACAAGAAACTATAATTAAATGTATGAAAAGAAAATAAATAAAAAAAAAAAACAAAACAAAACAAAATATATATAAATTACAAAAAGCAAAAACTTTAAATATATACAAAATAAATTACCAATTTTGCAATTCCACAATCTAAAATAATTTTTTCTTCTTCTTTTTTTTGCTTTTTTCTGGCTTTTTTTTTGCTTTTCATTGACATTTTTGGCCTTAAAATAAAACATTAAAAACGAAGTAAAGTAAAAAATACTTTATATATATACAACACATATATACATACATCTATATATATATACATATATATATATGTGTAGCGTATAAAATTTAGTTCTAATTTATACAAAGCAAGGGAGCAGCTTTCAAATGGCAAACTTTATGCAAAAAAGAAAAGAAAACAGAAAGTAAATAATTAATTAAAAAAATTATTGTTAAAAAGGCAAACTCAAAAGAGAAGAGCAAGCAAAATGCGTTGAGTTGAGATAACAATACGAAAAAGTATCTATATATAATATATATACAAGAAATAAAAATATATATATTGTTAAATTTTTATGCTAAGTTTTTAGTGCAAAGAATAAAACACAAAAAAATGAAATGGTTAAATTTTTAATAAAACATTAAAAGAACAAAACAGAAAATGGAGATGAAAACAAAGCAAATAAAACGCGAGTAAATCTAAATTTAAATTTAGCATATAACGGCATAATAATATGTTACAATATTTACAATATAAAAACGAGAAGAGGAAGCAGCGGCAGCAAAGTGAGGAGAGCAAAACATAAATGAAATTCCCCCATAAACCATGAAAGAAAAGAAATAAATTAAAATAAGATGAAAAATAACTGAAATTATATACAAAAAAGAAGAACAAGAAGAAGAAATGAAAAGTTATATGAAAAAAGGAGCTGAATAAATTCATTCATGTTATACGATTAAGTGTAGCCGTAGACCGACTGTTGCACGTGGCATACACACACATACCCACACACACACACTCATGTAAACATTTAGTATTCCACAAAAATCGAAGGCAATACAAGGCATACAGTCTCAGGTACAGTAGGCACTGCCTATGCTGCAAGCAAAAGAACTACACTGTACCAAGGATCAACAAAGCCTAAAACTCATAGCCACAGACACAGTCATACGCAGAGGCTAGACAAACGCCGCTCATAGGCAGCGCGCACTGTACTTGCAGTTCGCTGATTTTGTCAGTTGTCCACACATTTCAATACTTGACACAAACACACTATCTCAACACAGGCACACAGCTCAACATGTTTCCTGCACAACGCGGCGTATGCGCAATATTTGATTCCCTGTTTGTTTTTCTTTTGCAGTTCATTTTATCTGTCTATTTCGTTTGGATTTGTATGTGCACCTGTGTGCTATACATATTTTTCGTTTAGTTTTTAAACAGAATTCCTATTTTCTATGTTTTTTCCACCGTTACAATTTTATGTTTTTTTAAATGCTTTTCTAGACGCGTGCATAAATAAAACAACCAAAAACACAGACACACAAAGGCACAGCAATACGATTTAATATTTATTGCGCAGTTGTAAACAATTCGTTTCTTTGTTATATGAGGAAAATAGCAAAACCATTTTTGCCAGCAAATAATAAAAAAAACATTTGGACAAATTCGAAATTGAAAAGTTGCACTGAGAACAAGATTTTTATGCCCAACAAATTTTTTTAAACAGGGCAGAAAAAATGGGAGGAATGCAGCAAGAGCTAAAAATAAATAACAAAAATAAAACAAAATAACATAAGAGCATAAACAATAAAAAAATTATATATATATATATATATATATGTATATGTATATATATGTATATATATATATATATATATTTAAGTATATATACATAACGTATAAACTCGTTTTTTATATGCTTACATAATTTAGTTTAACTAGATGAATTCGTTTTTTATATATTTGTAAATTGTTTTTAGGTAAATCGAATTATATAAATCTCTATATATTTGCATATGTATATATATATTTATATATATCTATATATAAATATATATGAGATGTGTATATATCATACTGCATTATTATGATTATTATTATTATTATTACAACTTATTATTAAATTTAAAACGAAAACCCAATCACAACACAAACAAAAATTCATAAAATCAAGAGAAGAGCAAAAAGTTGCAAGACAACTTTAAAGAATGATAAAGAAAAATGCAAGCAACTAGAGTGAAGGAAAGCAAAAATGAAGAGAAAAGAAAAAAACAAAAAAAAAAAACAAAAACAAAACAAAAACTAAATAATTCAATTCATTCTTAACAATAAAATGTAATCTGAATTATACAAAGAAACAAAAACAAGAAAAAAAATTAAAACTCGTCATGGCAAATATGGGCGGAAAATTGGGGGTGGCAGTGGCAGTGGCAGCTGCAGCAGCAACCGCAGTTGTTGTAACAGTAAATCTCTTTAAATTTCCCTCGACTCCTGCTCTACGCTTTTTATACCCATTGCAAATGGGGACTTAGGACATAATCTGTGTGCGGCAGAAGAAAGCGTGGCAGATCCTGCGAGGCATATATATTTTTGATGAGCAGCTGAGACTAGGAACTAGCTAGAGACTTGATACTTTCGCGTTACCAGACGCAGTACGAGGTTAACCTATTTCTATCGATAACTCATTACATTTGCTGGTTATCGATAAATAACGCTTAGTTGATTTCGCTTCCCTAAGCGCAGCTTGAATACCGCAAAAGCGAGGGATTATCTTTATCAAGCTGACATCTGAATATTTAATTCAGAAACTGTAGCTACATATGCTGATCTGCTAGAATTAGCAGCTCTGCGTAGTAGTCAGGGTATCTGCTAGTCGCTCACTACCGGACTAGAGCCCTCTCACTTCATTTTGCTGTTTGTTTGTTTTAATCAGTTTCAATTATGCAGTTTTACCAGCTGCAGGGAGCTGGGGCAGCAGCTGCCAGGAAAATTGCCTTTGTTTCATGT